GAAGATATGTTTAAAAGTAAAATACAGAAAAATCTTACTCTATAGAGTAAGCCACTTAGTTTGATAGTCATCTTTCCAAATGATTTTAATAACATATAATGGCAAAAATGCGAGTGCGACACCTCTCTAAAAAGTTGAATACGTGTTAATACATGGAACCCTCAGAACACTCCTATAAGGCATATGCCATGATTCATCCCATTGTATGAAGGAGATTACAGATGAGGAAACAAAGAGCTTAATTTTCCTAGGAGTGCCCGGCTTGGAAACGGCAGCGCCAGACTGAAGCCCACGCTTCTGAGAGCCTTCAGCCACTGTCCTTCACTATTCAATAGTTAAGCTGTTTCTGTTTTACAAAAACGGGATTACACTGAACGCCACGTTCCGTAACGTCCCTCTCTTGACTCAGCAGTACCTTGTCAGTGAACATGCACTATGCACTCATTTGTGCATTTGTGCTGCCCTTCGCTGAGAACACTGGGTTTTAATACGAAAACACTCAGTTTGCCACAATACAGCCTTCCCCTCCACTTCCAGCTCCTTCACTTCCTACAAACCGAATTCCAACCCAAACTGAACTTCTCATTGGTTTCTGTAACATGCCCATTAGTCTCATGTCTGTACTTTTCTCACACTGCTCCCCGTCCCTCCATAAGTCTAGAAAAACTCCTTCCCCCATTTCTGCACTGAAAGGCACACCCACCAGCTCTGGGTTCAAGCTAATTTAATTTTGAATCCTGCCTCTGTCACTGCCTTGCTGTATTATCTTAGCAGTTTGCTCAACCTTTCCAAGCCTCAAGTACCTCCTCTTAAAAAATGGAAATAACAACTCCACTGGTAGATAAACGAAGCTGCCTTTTGAGCGCTTTCTCCGAGCAGAGTACAAGCCCTTAACGAATGGTACCGCTCTCTCCACCTCTCTGAGATCCTCTCCATGCCTCCAGGTCCACCTCTAACACCACCTCCTCCGTGAGGCATCCCCTGGGTTGCCACCATCCCTGCCCCCACTGCGCGTGGACTTTCCTTCCTGGATCCTTTGGAAATGGAGGCTTTTGGCATCAGTTTGCTCAAAATGGCCTTACATATATTTGGGTGCCCTTCGACCTGCCCTGCTGGATTGTAAGTGCTTCAAAGGCTAAAAACTTAATGAATTTCTTGGTGCTGTGAAAGGCCTACAAGACAAGAGAAATGCCTCTGGGGGCTTCCCAGAATTTTCAACGTGCTCCACTCCCCCCTCATAGGGGTATGATCCAGGGGTTCATGTATATTAGATATTCAGTGCTTGTAGAATTGAATGAATTACTCTGTCCCCATGCCTCTCCTATCTTCCTCTTACTGGCTCTGCAGAAGCCCAGCACCGAAAGGCTTTCAACCAGCCAGCCCCAAAAGCACTGCTGTGTCTCCCCGTGACCCCTTTTTGCTCCAAGAAATGAGTCACGGTGAGAGTGAGCCAGACCTGGCAGCCCAGCCCTGGCTCGGTAGCTGTTGCAGTGAGTTGTTCAGCCTTATCCTTACTGTCTGGCGGAGTATGTCCAAATCTGGGCTTCTCAAAACATCAGCGCCATCACAGATAAAGCTGCTTCGCACCATCGCCTGGGTCTATAGACAGGACCCTTCCACAGGACAAGGCGAATGTTATAAAATGGTTGTTAATTGTGCGGAAAGCATAAACTTCATTGGAGGCAGTTTTCTTGACGGGACCTAAACCATCTAGTAGAAAAGAAAACCTCTCCACAGGAGCCAAGAAAAGACTGCAGCATGCCTAGAGAGAAGGGGCTTACAGGGATTTGTTGGCTATGCCTTGGAATATAAAAAGCTACGCTTCCTGAAAAAGAGGGTGATACGGTTCCATAAGAGATGTAATCCCCATACTGCCGCGAATTGGACAGCCTAGAGATTAGAACCACTTTTCCTTCCCTGCAAACCCTGCTCTGACTTTGTAACGGAGTCTTGGTTTTTCCATCCCCAAGATAAGACTAAACTATGTAAAGACTATGGGTTTTTCCAGCTGTCATTGCAAAATTCTTAAATTCAGTTGACTCACAGAAAGCCCAGCAATGAAAAGCTCTAGCTTGGGGATCAGTCAGATATGTTCTGGAGTCCTGGTTATACAACTTGCTAGCTATATGCCTTGGAGCAAAATTGTTTTTAAGATAACTGAGGCTCAGTTTTCCTCATCTGTAAAATGGCAAGGATAGTTATCCCTCCCTGACCGATCAGCCTAAGGGTAATATGGAAGAAGGCATGTAGAATGTTAGCACTGCATGTGGCACATAGCAATTGTGCAAAGCCGGAGAACCGTGATTACTATTATTCAGGAGGGATAGGTGCAAGGCATTGTGGGAGCATAAAAAAGGGTCTGACTAAGTCTGCCTGGAGGTGGGGAGACGGTACAAATTTGCTAGGAGGCAGGACACTTAAACTGGGCCATAAAGAATGACTAATTCACCAGGTGGCAAGGAGTGCCAAGGGAGAATGATGCAGGCAGAGGAACAAGGCCTGCAGAACAGGCAAGCCAGAGGTTGTGGAGCCCAAGGGCACGGGATGGACCAGCTGTCCACCGTTTCCCAAGCTCAACTCAGTCCTGCTCTGCTCTGTTCTCGCTCCGTGGGCCTTTTATCACTTGGAAGCATGGGTGTGAGTGGGTAATTTGTTCATTGCCCCAAAATAATAATTCTTACTTTAAGCCGATAATTATTCTAAAGTCTGGGGACACAGTCATAAGCAAAATAGACATGGTCCCTGCTCTGACCCCACTTAACTTCTAGAGGGGGTATAGACAAACTTGAGAAACCAGAGAACTTCGGGCCATGGTCAGTGATATACACTCAATAAAACAGGACAATGGGACAGAGAATGGTCCACCAGGGCCCACCCCTAGGCACCTACACTTTCACTTCATCATAGGGACATGGGCACGTGGAAGAGGACTGATCCTTTTTACTGATGAGGAAACAAATCCTGAGAGGAGCAGTGATTCATCCAAAGTCTCACAGCCAATAAGTGCCAAAGGCAGGTGGCCTCATTCCACGCAGAGGAGTCAAAAATACCCAGGACAAAAGGCTAAATGGGTGAGAAAAGCAAGGAGCAAAACAGTATGTAGAGCAGGATCCCATTTTTATTTTTTTAATGTTTTATTGTTTTCATATAGGGGAAAAAATAAAGTCTAAAGGAATAGACCCAAAACTGTTTATAGTTGTTAGTATCTCTTAAGAATGAGACTCTGGGGGACTTTTATTTCCTACATTAAATATTTCAGTAATGCTTAAATGTTTTACAATATATATTACTTTTGGAAGCTGAACAATAGATTTTTTTTTTAAAGGGATATTATAGAGTATGGGCACACAAGCAAATCTGGAGTCCACCTTAATAAAAGACAACCTGCAAAGGGTAAGAAAAAAAAGACATTTGGAGTGATATGAACCAGTGTCTGGTCGATTAAAACAAGTAAAAACAAGCCTAGAGGCCTGAGACTGTCTGGTGTGTTTAGAAGGATTTTCTGAGCAAATGGCAGTTACTTTCCCACTGAAGTCCTCATGCTGGAACTAAAACGTCATTGGAACAGAGAAGGCCAGACTTATAATATAGACTTGGGTTTTTAGAAGAAGTGATGGATGGGACATATTTTCAAAGGAGAATAAGAAATAAAAAGGTGAGGGAGAACAAAAAGCAGGGAGAAAGAGGAGACAAAAAGAGTAACAAAGAGAGAAAAGCACTCGACTCAGGTCTACTCTGGGTTTGGCCAAGAATTCACTGTGAGTGTCTTTCCCTCTGCGGGCCACAGTATTCCCCTCTGTAAACTGGATGGTGGACTGTACTAGACAACTTTGAAGATCTCTCTCAGCTCCATCCTTCTAGGATTCAGAGACAAATGAGGGGAAAGGAAGAAGGCAGAGGACAGAGGGGAGAGAAATGTAGGTGGGAAGAAGCAAATGCTAAGGAGGAATGACGAAAGGCAGAGGAGACAAGAGGAGAAAGAACGGAAGGCATTCCCCAAAGCAGTTGGAGTCTGCCTATCTTGTTGAAAGAAGAGCAGGAAGGACTCTCTCATCAAGAATTACAACAATAAAAGCTTTACCCTCAGGCAGCCAACTCCACAGCTCCCGCTGGTGGGGACCATGGCTGATGCTGGTAGGAGCCACGGCTGATGTCTGAAGAACAGGGACCTTCGAGGAGGGAGGATGCCGCCTTGTTCTCCTTGTCTAGGTGGGAGAGCGGCCCCTCCTCCTGTGGGCCTGACCATGGTCAACAACAATTAGCATATTCCCAGGCTCTGGAAGATGTGGGAGAGTGTGCCCAAGGGGGCTACAATTACAGTTTGACCCCTTTGTGCCTGGGAGGCCACCATCCTGGGAACCACCAGAGAAAACCCCAGGCCAGAAAGAATCTTCCAAAGTCATCTTCTCCAACCTCCTGTGCATCCCTCCCCTAACAGCCCTGTGCCTAAGGATTTAGCCCCAAATGACTCTCAGTCCTATTCTCTAATCTCTTCATAGTTGTCTGAGTCATCCCGACCTTGAGGCCCTTGCAGATGAAGACAGTGCCCCCCACTGATTGATTATCCCCTTAATCCTCAGGGCACAGTGCTGGGCACACATGGGCCCTTCAAACCCATCTGAGAGTTAATCAGTAGGATGAGATGGTTCTAATCTCTCTCTCAGTAACATCTCAGTCTAAACACCCTTCCTTTTGTTTACTCCACTGTCCCTGTTTCAAAGTCCAACCTGTCATTTGCCTGAGGGGACAGAACCCGGCAGACACTTCCCTCTGCAGAAGTGAGGCAGAACACCCACGCTGCAGGTGATATCTCCAAATCTGGACTTGACCCCAATGAGAGAGTGAATAGATGATGTCCCTCTATAAATGAGAACCGCAGGTACAAATACGAGACCACAGATCACTGTTCATTTTAACATTTAATGAGCAACTTCAGTATACCAGGTTCTTGCCTAAGCAATTTATCTGAATGATTCGACTCTTCCCAACAATCCAAAAATTAGAGTGAAGTATTGCTAGTTTGCAGATGAAGAAACTGAACCTCAGAGAGGGTAAGCAACTTTCAAGGTCATACAAATAAGGAGTCAGGTCACAGTTCTAACCCACTCCTAAGCCGGTTCACCGCATCGCCTGCTACGGAGAGCTCAGCCTGTACGCGTGAACAGTTCCAGCGACAAGAAACTCGCCATCTCCTTAAGGAAGCCTCTTCCCTTAGTATTTGTTAGGGAATATTCTTTCCTCACATGCATCAGGGAGCCATCAACCTCTTCAAAAGTCCCATCCCTTCCCTGATCACCTGGGAGAAGTCAGTGGGCTGCAGAAGGAACCTAAACAACAGAATCAGAAAGATCTGGTTCTAGTCCGACCATACTGCCTACTAGCCACCTAACTTCCAGCCAAGTCACTTCTGCCATCTGTGCCTCGGTTGCCTTATCTGTACAACATGAACACAAATAGGTACCTCATATAGAGTTTTGGAGGAAAAAAATTAGTAATATTTGCAAAGGGCTTAACTCAGTGCCAAGCAAATAGTAAATACTCAAGAACATTATTTTATTAAGCTGAATCCCTCTTCCCATGACAGCCCAACAGGGATTTGTGGAAAATGATCTAAGTCTTTTCTGAGCCAAACACCACAGTCTTTAATTATTCTTTACAGGTCAATTTCAAGTTTGTTTACCAGCCCAGTTGTTCCTTCCTGGACCTGCTCCAACCTGTTAATGTCCCTCTTAAAATGCAGGACCTATGATGAAATGTAACAAATTAGCCAAGACTTGAAGTACAGCCCACATCAAGCATTTCCTGCCATACCTGTCTCTTTTAGTCTTTAGATTTTTCTGAAGTTCTTCAGAATTATTGGGTGTAACCTGGGCTGGGATAAAATTGTAGTGAAGAATATTTGAATCTTATACGTAGAAACTTTAATTTTTATTGGTAATAAGGGCGAACATACTAAGTGGTTTCCATGTGCCTGCCACTATATCAGCACTTGATGTGTATTTTCTCCTTGGTTGGGGTGCAACAATCCTAGAACCGCCATTATTCCCCTCATTTTACTGATAAAGAAGCAGATTTGAAGAGACTGGGTGACTTGCCTAAGATAGCACAGCTACGTGGCAGAATCAGATTTGAGTCTACCATGCTAGCCTACCTCAAGCACTGATGGGATGTTTATAATATGTAAGGACTTTCAGAAATAGAAAAAGGAGACATAAGCAGGAAATACGAGACATAATAGAAAATAGAAATACAAACAGGAGACATAAGCAGGAAAAGGAGACATAATAGAAAATAGAAATACAAACAGGAGACATAAGCAGGGTGATTTAATTTTTTAAAAAAAAGAAGAGAAAAGAAATGGTACCACACAATGTTGGACCTCTAAACTACACCACCACAGATACCTCTCCTTCTCCCCTCTAGCACATTCCAATGGCTATGGTTTCTTGGGCAACATGAGCTTATGGAGAAAAAGGAAAAAGACAGAAGCAGGAGTCTCTCTTCTTTTACCTCTCACCTTCTCACCACTGCCTTCAGCCCTTGCTCCTTGCAGACTTCTCCTTATGAAGAATTAAACTTCAATGAGGAGCACAGCGCTGGTCCTAGAGTGGGGAGAGGCTCCTTTACACTGGTATAGTTTTTCTGCTTTAGAAATATTTATAACCCTTGACTCAGCAAAATTTTGCTTCTAGGATACAAACAGAGGTGGGGGGGAGGTTCACAGCATAATTCATAATAGCTAAAAATTGAAAATGATAGAAATGCCCATCAATAGAGGGATAGCTAAATGAATGCTAATCTAGCCACACACTGGCCTACGCAGTCATTTATAACCATGTTTCTAAAGGTTTAATAACAAGAGAAAATGCTCATTTAGAATCTTCAGTAAAAAAGCTGCAAACAAAACTGATTACAATCTACTGAGGAGAAAAAAAAAACTTTGGAGAAATTTACTAATATGTTGACAGTAGGTATCTCGATAATGGAATTTCCAGGTGGGTTTTATTTTTTTCTTTGAACCTGGTTGTATTTTTCCAATGCGCCTTTATTGCTCTACTCATCAGAGAAAAATGTTATTTTTTTAAGGATTGAAAGAATCTGGTCTGAGGGCAGCCAGCCAGCTTGTGAGGTACAGTTTTTGCCACTGGACAGTTTCCATCTGTCCAGAGCCATTACTCCTCTAGTACCATCAGATCACCTTAATCCTATTGATTGAAATGCCAAAGTAATGCTATTAATTTACTACTTAACAGATAAATTCCCTAGAGTACAGCAGAACAATTACCTGAGAGTCCTGTGATGCTCCTCTAGGTGTGAGAGTGTGGTCCTTACAGGTTCAAGCACAAAGCACAAAGGAGCCTCTAGAAGCTCACATTCGTCCCCCATCATAGAGCCTACATCAACCAGTTCTCTGTGAATCAATAAAAATCATATTGAACATTTACAATGTGCCAGATACCAAAGTAAGCACTGCAGAAGAATTATTTATTCCTTACAGTAACTTTATCAGTAGCAACTATCGTTACCCCCATTTAACAGATGCAGAAACAAAGACAGGCAGGATAAGTAACTTGTCCGAGGCCACACAGCTTATAAACGGCAGCCTGGATTTGATGGCGGAGCCCATGTGCTTTACCCTGCAGCAAGCCCCTGCTGCAGTCCAGAAATGGGTTCTTACTTGTGTAGGAGCTTACGCTTTCTTCAACATGATTTCACATAGTAATGCATAAGTTAGGACAAGAGGTATCTACATTCTATGGATAAGGAAACTGATGCTTAAATATAGTAAAGGACTTATTCAAGATCACACAAGGAAAGGACCAGAACAGGCAGAAGTCAAACCCAGGATTTCTGACTCCACATCCACAGCGTATCTCATCCCATGGGTGGCTTCTCTTTGCCCCCGAGACATGGAACAAGTAGCAGAAGGCAGTGGCAGTGGAATTCGGGCCTCCTGTTCGGTCCCCCTATGAGCTACAAAGGGGTGACTCTGCTGCAGGATCCTGAAGGTGCAGGGTAGAAAGGAAAGACACCTCCAAAGGAAAAGAAAGACTCGGCAGTGACCCCTGTGACCCTTTGAACGTTAGCCCTCCTTCACCCTAAAACCAGGAAGGGGCACTGGCCACAGCACCTTGTTCTGCCCTATCATCCATCTATCTACCTTCCTTTCATCTCGTTAAGCCCCACAGGGTTCACTCACACGTCTTCTCCTCTGTAAATATTCTTTATGGAAGCTTATACTAAACCACAGAGCAGCAGGAATTTAAAACAATGCATATTTGAGTTGAGTGAGCTGTTTTAGCACATTTGAACAGCTGCTCCAAAACATATGCCAAAATTCTACCTCATTTGGATTCCTGTATCAACTCTGCCATCAAAGTACCTTGACTAAGTCATTTAACCTCTCCAAGCCTCAGTTTCCCATCTCAAAAATAGACAAGAAAATGGTACCTACCTCATAGAGTTGCTAGGCGGATTAGAAAGCATGCATGGTAAAGTTCCGTGTGTGGCACCTAAAAAGTGTTCAACCATCCATAGCAATTGCTATGATTGTTAGTTAATCTCTAAATCAGTTTGCTCATCTATAAAATGGAGATGATTATCGCTCCTGACATTGCAGTCAGAATATAGTCATTAATTTATAGCACGTGTTCAATAAATGTCTTTTTTTTTTAATACACAAGACGACCAGGTCCCATAATCCTAAAACTCCTCTACCTACTTCTTCCCAAGACTTTGTAACCTGCTGAGTAAGACAAAAAAAGTTCCACCCCACTGAGCATAGCTGCAGCTCTCTCTTAGGGGATTCAGGGAATCAAGGAGGGCTATTTAGAGCATTATTAGAGCCCCGAGCTTCTGCGCTGCTGCTTTGGTAAATTCTGTATTTACATACAAATACCCACTTCAGCGCAGCTAAACCCTCTCAACTCACGGTTAAGTGCTCTATTTCTGAAGAGTAGTCACTCGGTTTATTAAACGCAGCTTCGGTTTTTAATCTAAGTTGCTCTTCCTACAATTAAAAGTCAGGTTTTTTCCCTTAGTGTCCAGGGAGGGTTGTTTATTTTCTCAACATTCACCTTTGAACTACGGTCTCTTGGATGCTTGAAGACCACACACATCCAAGGTCCACTCTTAGGAAAACCTGTTTTGTCTGGGATAAATACCCCATCTTGCTGATGCACTTCCTATGGGTTCATTGCAACCTGGCTTATTTTCCACTACAGGTTTGAACTAGTATAGACTTGGGAGGGAAAAAAATGATGTGTTTTGTCTAATAGGCACAGGTATTTGAGCACTTACTTGTCTTCACATAGGTTGCCCTCTATTAGTTTAGGAGCTCTTGGAAAGTAAGGGCTATGACATATTCATTACTGATACAGTTAAGAGAGAAGTCTGTGGAGCCAGGGGGAAACCAGATAAATTATTGGACCTCTATGAACCTCAGTTTCCTCATCAATAAAATGGGAGTAATGATACCCAATCCACAGGATTATATGCAGGATTAAGTATTGCAGATAAAGCTCTTGGGGTAATGCCTGGTATTTTATAACCACTCAGTAAGGGCTAGTTGTTATTATTTTATTATTTCTATCCTGCTCAATTACCAAGTACAATCTCTGACACATAGTAGGCACCCTATAATTATTTTGGATAAATAAGTAAATAAATGAAGTAGTAAATGAATGCTATCTCCTATGAAATGATGATTACCCCAAAAGTGCCTACTGAATGGAAAGGGCTGACTGACCTGAGAAGAAAAGTTTATTTCTACATCTGTAAAAGCACTGTGAACTTTTGCCATTCAAGCAACATGCAGTTGGTAAAAGCAGGTCACATTTTAAAGATGAGTGAACTAAGATGGAGAGAAATAAAACGAGAGGCAAACTGACTACAGAGAAATTCTGAGGGACAATTTAATAAATAATCACAAAGCGTTCGCCCATGGTCTTCCCGTCTTTTGGGAATGGCTTGACCTGGAGTCCCTGGTCGTGTATGGCTCTGGCCTCTGAGACCCTGAGCAGGCCTCTTAACCCTTCCGCTGAGCCTCAATGTCATCACCTGTGCATGGAGATGCTGTCATGGGAATGGTGTGGGGATCAAATGCAGTGATGGACTTGGACCTGCCATATAACCTGAAAGTGTTATTGGTGTGAGAGGAATCATACGCAGCCCAAACACTCCAGTTCCCTGAGCTCCATGAATTCTCACTTGTAGCTCCAGAGAACTGTGTAAACATGTATATCACAAACCAGAGCAGCTCCTCAGAAGGAGCTTGCAAATCGGTATTACTTGCAAAACTCAGTGGAGTGGAGTGGTTAATAGCGTGGACTTTAGAGACGAGCTGACCGGTGGGCTCTGCCTCAGCTGAATCCCTGAAAACGCAAGTGTCACCTTCGTCGTCTCTAAAGGGGAGGTAATAAATAATGTCATCGTCATAGGACTGTTGGGAAGATTAAATACAGTCACATATCCAAAGTACCCAGCACAGAGTAAATACTAAGTGAATGGTAGCTATTGCTACCATTAGCTAACATCATGTCTTTATCTGTTTTCATCCTATTATTATTGCTCCTCGATATTTATACTCCCTGGTCTTTGCAACCTCAAACGGCCAATCCCTGCTGATTAATGCAATCTTTCTTTCCCAAAATTTTTTTGTCCAGAAGCCCTGAGCTCTATTCTCTACAAAGACATACTTTTCCAGGGAGATTTATCTGATTAAAAAGAAAGCTGCATTGAAGGTAATGAGAGCCATTTTCTCTCCTGTCCAACTCGTGGGATGCATGCTGATTATGCAGGGCCTGCTAAGGGCTCGGACTCGGGCAGAGTAAACCCCACCGGTCTGTTCTTCAGCCTCTGAAGAATCCCCTTGGACTCCTCACGCTGTAACTCATCCGGGGGCCTACGTGACGCCCACAGGCTTGAGCCAAGGCTTCTTTCACTGGAGAACCAGACTGGAGAATCACGCTAAAGGTCAGGGGCACAGGAAAATCTCCCCAAGTGAGACATATGGGGACAGTCAGGGCAAAGAGAGATGGTTGCTGCAGAATGATAATAAATGACCTAAGTCGGGAGAAAGGTAGGCTTTATGCACATAGGGTTGACCTAGCCCATTGGTCTGAGTCATTCCGTGGGAGGTGGGGGCGTTGGCAATGCTATTGAAAGAAAAGGCTGGCTTCTTCTGTTTTCCTGCCTTGGATTTTCCCAGAGGACATTGGGTATTTTTTCCCCAGGGACTGACTAAAGGGCTTTCTTACTCCAGTCAGATCGCATCACTGATGCCAAGTACCTGCACAGCTAAATTCAGCTTCCTCTGGGATGCAAGGTGTGTATCACCCATTTAACAAACATTTATTGATGCCTGAGCATATGCCAGGCCTTGTGCTTCATGAAAATCATATTTATTATGAGCCTGGAGAAAGCTTGAAAAAGTCATTTCCCCTAGGATCTTGTCTACATAGCACACGATTGCCCCAATTCCGAGGAAAAGGAAGGTTGGAGAGGTGACGGGTGAGCTTGAACCAGAAAACACCAAAGGTTTCCATGATTCCAGCCTCTAAACATACGCATGAAGGAGAAGAAAGTGAGACAAAAAGAAAACATCGACATAATTTTAGCAAACACAGTGCGGTATGACAGCGTTAGCTCAAGTCACACGCACCTTAAGCCTTCATTTTATCTGGAAAATGGGGACAGACATCCCTCCCTCCTACCTCTCAGGCTGCTAGCAGGATAAAACGAGATAAAATATGCAATGCTGTTTCTTGCCATCAAACAAGAAACATAAAAACGAAGCTTTTTGGAAGTAAAATGAGAGGCTATGACAAATAGAGACTCCCTCTCCATTGGATTACCTACAGGAAATCCTACCCTTGACTGGGTTTGAGGATCTTTGATGCTGTAGCAGGGCCAGGACTAGGGTGAGGCAAGTGAGGCACCCAGGGCACAAAATGTAAGGAGGCAGTCACTCTCAGGGTCCTGCAAGTGCAGAGTTGCCACTTACGCCACACTGAGAGTGAGTGCCTCCTTCAATTTTGCTAGGGGCCTCCTCGTCCTCCTCCTGGCCCTGCTTTGTGGGATACTAAAATAAAGGCGGCGAGTCGGTGGATGGAGAGCTAGCCAGAGGAACAGACTGGAAGCAGTGATAAGGGGTATGAGAGATCCCTAGAGAAGCAGACTACCCTAGGGACGGGGGAGAGCCAGATAGAATCCAATGTTCCTTCCAGCTCCGAGGACCTAAGACTTGATCTCACTGCAGAAGAGAATCATATTCCAATGCTTGTGCTTTTTACCCAGATAAAAGTTCCTTACAGGAAGCAGATATAGCTGGGGGGGGCGGGGGCGGCAGAGGGGGAATGTCTTGTTCCATAAGGCCCTGGGAGAATCGGGCTCGGAGCATGCCAACTGTGACATTCAGCTCCCAGGAGCGCTTAGCAGATCACGGAATGCGAGTAATAAAACATCAGGTACTCTCCGGTCAGCCTAAGCCCCTTACTGCAATCAGATAAAATCTAAATTGCACAGCTGGCCCAGGGAAGCCAAACGTTGGCCTAAAGATACAACCCAGGCAAAGCTGAGGGTGACCAGTGGGGCCCACGCTGCACAACTGCCTGCAAGTCCCAGGTGTCAGAGCCAGGGACAGGAAACTGATGCAGTCCATAAGGCTAGACTGTGCCAGCCTCACTCAGCCCCACAGAGCCCTCCCCACCACCTCTCCGTTCCTTTCCTGAGGATAGCCCATGGGGAGAAGAAAGCTTTCTCCCCCCAAAACACAACGTGGACGATGGCAAATGTTAGGTCTTTCTTTCTAAACGTGCACAGAGGGCTACTTAATAAAACTCAGAAAAATTCTCTGATTCATGTCCCTACCTCCCCCCCAAATACTGCCGTCTTCCTCTGAACCACCACAGCAATCCAATTATGCCACCTAGGCTGGGTGGCAGCCTCCTATAATTGTTTATGTACCTAATCTATTGTATCTGCCGAACTATAAACAATGAGAGGCCGAAGGCCATGCGTCAACAATTGATGACTGATTGCAGCTACATGGCAGGCCCTGAACAAGACAGACACCAACCCTGCCTATATGGAGGCAGTGATACATTTATCTGCATCTCCCCACAGGGCCTTATGCATATAGTGGGTGCTAAAAAACCCAGAAGGATCAGAGGCTTTTAGAGCAAGAGGGCCAGCAGAAACGAGACAAGCCTCGACTCCACAATCTAGTCCCTTGGCACAGACTGGTGGTCCATCCTGCTATCCCCTTCCCTGCTGGGCTGGGCCCCAGAACCCTTCTCTGAGCAGCCACCACCAGTTGCATGGAGTGGGCACTCGACGTAAAATGGCTTAGCATGCCTGATCTAATCCAAAACTGCCATTTCACAGAAGAAGACACTTCGGGCCATCTAAGAAAAAGAATTAGCTCAAGACCACCCAGAAAGTTAGAGACAGAGCCAAGACTACATCCCGTTTCCCAGCCCACACCTGAATGTTTTTCCCTCTGTTCCACAGTGACCTTCAAAATTGTGTATTAAGTAAATACCCATGAACACACACAGCTGACCTTCAAACGACCTTGACTAGTTGACCAGGTACTTTCTACACAAAATAACCACCAGCTCATTGGACTACCTCCCTGCCAAGATATTCTGGCCCAAGTCAGAGGACCAGTTGCCTGGAAACCACGCTGGACACCCACCATTTGGAGGTGTCTTTGGAAGACACAATTTCCCAAACTTGGCCAGGCCACAATTCAGTCCAGCCAGAAACAACTGAGAAATCAACATGGATTATTTTACTGTAAAGGGATTGGGAACGGAGAATCTTCCCTTAACTTTCAGACCCACCTGGTTGCTACTCCCAACCCCACAGACTCCGTGCTCCATCTTCACCTCCTTTCATCTCGC